ACCTCTAAATGCTGGAGTACTCCAAGTGATCAATTTTTGAACCTCTTTTCTTTTCTACCTACAATCACTCCATTGGTGCTCTTTACTTACAGAGATCTGTACAATGAAGATTCTCTAATTTATATCTCCAGTCTTGACGTCTTCCCTGAACTTTAAACTGGATATCCAACTATCTCCTTGGCATGTCTATTTCAATATATAATAGGCATCTTACATGTGACGAAGAGAATTTCTGAAGTTCCCTTGAAAACCTGTCCAACCCACAATCTTTATTATCTCAGGATTATTACAATAGCCTCTTGACTGATCTCCCCAATTTTGTCCCTCCCTGCCACTTTAATCTACTCTCAAGTAGAGCAGCCAGATTGGTCCTGTTAAAAATAAGTCAGCTCCTCTTTTTATTGTATCTATGGGATGATGGATGCTAACTAAACGTATTGCAGTAATCATTTTACAATATATGTAAGTCAAACTATTATGCTGTACACCTTAATCATATATAGTAACATGTCAATTATATGTCAATAAAACTGGAAAAATACCAAGTCAGATCTTATTGCTCCTCAGCTTAAATACTCCAATGGTTTCTCATCTCACTCAGAGATGTTCAAGCCCTTAAAATGGTCTGCAAGACCCTCATGATCTGGCCCCCTTACCTCTCTGACATCATCCATTATTCTCTCCTTCACTCACTCACTGTGGTCACACTGTTCTCTGTGCTGCTCCTCAAACACACTAGATAAGCCACAGCTTCAAGGCCACTCACTTGCTATCCCCTCTGCTCGCACAATCTCCTTTGCATGGCTCACCCCCGACCTCCACTTCCTTTAGTCTCTGCTCAAATATCTTTCTTACTAAAGACTTATCTGTCTCCCCTTAACCAGAAATATAAGCTTTATGAGGTCAAGGATTTGTATGTTTTGCTCACATGGTGTCTAGAGTTCTTGGCATATGCTCAATATTTGAAGGAAAGTTCAGGCACTGCAGGACGATGAGTAGAAAAAAGACCAGACATCCTTTTCACCTGTGTCTATTAATCAGGAGATAACTAAGAAAAAGAGGACTTTTATCATATCTAATTTCCTTTAAGATTATAGACAAAGAAACATGTCATTATCTGTTCATATTCTGGATGAAATTTCAAAGATTAAAATACACGGCTTGCAGTATCTACAACAAAAAATTATTATCACATAAATTATTAGGGGAGGTTATTTAATATATGAGATAAAACTCATTATGCTTTATTTATATGTATATTACAAATTCCCTAATGAAGCACATTCATCGATAAAGTCTCAATATGCTAATTACATGTGTTACTTTCTCTACTCATCAAAATGAGTCAGGCAGGATACCTTATTAGCAACACATTGAGATGGGCAATGTTACTCCACATCAAAACAATGAATTACAAAGTTCCTTAAAAATCTTAAAATTCAACATTTTTAATCATTTATAATCTCAATTAATAACGCTGTATTATCACACCTACATGAGAAACTAAAACATCAAGAGAAAGAGTAGTTCACTCCAGTTGTTACACCCATGTACCTGTTATCTGCCTCCCTTAACACTTACCCTCGAAGAATTAAACTCCTAATGTTACTACACTGTATAATCCAATGTGAAAAGATAGGAAGTTTAAACAGTCTAAACTAAAATTTCTTTCAAGCCACGCCAAGTGCAGCAACTGTTAGTGATTATTAAGAGTACTTATTTTTCTGCAGTTTAATATTTTGGAAATTCAAGCCACAGAAAAACTGATGCATGATATACTATAATCTCATACTGACACTCTGTGGTTTACTGAAGTATAACATCAAAAAAGTCCTGCGGTTCAGGGTAATTGTTACTGGGAACATACATTTCTTAAGACACAAATTCAACAAAATACACGTGTGACAGGAATAGTACTGTGTAGCTTACAAAGTACTCTATAATATCTCAAATTAAGCAAGAAAGGTATTATTAGTCCCACTTTCCAAATAAGTAAACTGAGATCCTGAAAGAGTAGTTCATTTTTCTCACTTAACATGTCTAGTATGTAAAAGACCCTTTACATTTACATACACAAAGAAAATGCACGCACGCACTTGTGTGCACATCCATACCAAAGATTCACAGGGTAATAATACCCCATACGGGGCCTTCAAAAATACTATGGTTAAAGACTTTAAAAAATGCATTATATAGCAAAATATCAACTTTCCTTCATTCATCTAAGAGTAAAAATTACATAGCGAATGTTGATGATAATTCCATGAAACTGGCACTTTCATCATTGTTGAAGGCATTAAAAACCGGTACAACCCTTTTGGAAAGCAATTTGGCAGTAATCTCAAGACACAAAAAGTGTCTGTGTCCTTTCCTAGTAATTCCATTTCTGGGAAGCTAGCCTACGAAAATAATTTAAAATATGGAAAAAACTATAGATTATTTATAACATTCTAGATGTTTGGCATCTGAGATTTTAAATTTGAGGCTTGGACACTGGTAGTTTTAACAGCTTGTGAGAGAACCACAGGTTGATCCATAGCATATGTAAAGCGGCTATGTGAGTGAGGAAGTCATGTTACTAACTGATGAGTGAGGCTGACTGCCAGCATTAGCTTCTCCTTGTGGTCTCTACAAGTTCTCACATGCACAGACGTTTCTAAAATGGGGTGGGTGGGTGGGAATAAGCATCTTTGTTAAAAAATTGTTTTTATAAGTAAAAGGCCCTAAAATAGCAAGCCTATTACTTGGCTGGTGATAAAAGTGAAGAGATCTAAGGAAGTACTGATATTTGTGGGTTTGGGAATGGTAACAGCCTTAGATCAAATTTCTTTTCAATGCCATGGGCCTATTGTAATGAAAGATCAGAAACATGACTAAATATTCAACAATAGAAAAATGATAAATTAAACCACAATCTACCTGATCACTCAGTGGCTGAATAAGGTAATGGAATTACAGATGCTAATTTTTCATTTTACATTTTCAAAATATTTTATATGACATTAATATCACATCCACAAATAGCAAAGTCAAGATAAAAATGTACTGCTAAATATAAAAGGGAACAGTTGCTAATTCATCACATGAGATCAGCATTACCCTGATACCAAAAGCTAATTAAGGACATTTCAAGAAACGAAAACTATAGACAAATATTCCTCATTAACACAGGTTCAAAAATCTTTTATGAAACATTACTAAACTGAGTCCAGGAATATAAAAAAAGTACAATGAACCATGACTAAGTGAGGTTTATCCTAGGAAAACTGTACTGCTTAAATCTTCCTATGTATCACTTTTTGGTATTTGCACTACATAACTGTACTAATAAAGACAAAGGTTAGATCTGGCCCACTCAATATAGCTCTAAAATATTTAATATAAAACTCTGCAATCAACTTTATTTTAAATCTTCTTTCTCAAATAGTCACCTGAATACCTCAATTTAAAATATGTTCATTTAAAATATCTTCATTCAATAAGCTCATTCTAAGATTAGAATTAAGCTACAATTACAACATACTTGACTAAAAGACAAAATTCAACATTTCTTGGAATCATAAATCCAAGGACCTCATATAAAAAAATTTCTTCACACATCTCTGAGTGGTATGGTTGTATTGCCTTATTGTGAGACTTACTGACAAAGGACACTCAACTCCTTAAAGCAGCCTCTGTGCTCTTCTGATGAACAATCCTAATGATATAGAGAATTCCTCTTTACCTTACACTGAAATCTACTTTCCTTCAACTTTTATCCACTGGTAAAAGCACTGACTTCTGAGGTAGTATGTGAGATTAAGTCTCTGTTTACATACTCAGCCTCCAAGTACTTGAAAATAACTATTAAGTCACTTTTTAGACTTTTCCTCTCCAGGCTAAATTAATTGAGTTCTCTCAACCACTGTTCATAGGATAACACTACTAAACTTCATTTTTTCTTACCACCACTTCCTGCAAAAGCCAAACATTTAAAACAAATGCGTTATAACATAGCACTATGTTCCTATAGAAATAGGCAGAAGATATGTGTATATCCTAATAAATTTACTGCAAGAGTCAATCAATCCTCAAATATCAAAATATCCTAGTTTCCGCCCCCTCAAATAAAAACAACCTAACAGATATTTTACTCTCAGTGCAAAAACATACTAGTGTAAGAAACAGAAGTAACTGAATATAGAACAGTTAATGCAATGGTGCTATAAGTAGTATTTTTTCATCTAGAGACGAATTGAAGCTAAAAGAATTGAATCCTTGTCAAAAACTATACCTACCTTTAAAAGATATACATATATGTAAAAAGCAGTAATTTGCAAAAAAAACCCCACATTATTTGCAAAGGTACATGCTGATTTGCCCAGGATGGTTAAGAAAAAATGCATATGCTAGAAAACAACCCTCCTTTATCCTAGCTTTCTCTTTGTTTAGCTTTGACATGGTTTTAATGTTATTGTACTAGTATTGGGTTATTGAACTCTTCAAGGCAGTTATAAAAACCACTTACGATGCTATACTTCTTTGTTCAAAAATACTCAAACATTGCACAATTGAGACGGAAAACTATGTATTACATATTTTGTGTTAGTGAAACCTCACTAATTAAAGTCTAGTAGCAGTTACTGGAGAAAAGTCCACTTATTAATAACATATTTTGAAAAAAAGTTCAATGACTTTAGAATACATGGTGCCTGGATTCAAATTTCTATAACCTGAGAATACTGGAATCAAACCTAGGAAAGGTCTACTTTTATAAATGGATAATTTGTAGTTAGTAAATTAAAGAGACAAAGAATAAGCCACAGGAGTAGAAAACGCTGGTGCTAAAGTGAATTAAATCATGCATGCAGATATCATGTTATCTTCCTCACCAAAACACTCCTTGAAAATGTGATTTTTTAAAGTTTATGTTTCCAAAGAGTTGATCTTCTTTTCTTTTATATCCAACATCCCCAAACGAAGGAAAACAAGTGAACATTTAGTTAGTATCTAATTCTTACCTGGAACCCACTTAATTTCCATTTCCATATCATTTTCTTTGCCTTTCTTTTCTTTTTCTTGAATAACTTGCAAGAGCTGCCTATATTTAGCAATTTGTTCTTCATCATCCTTCTGGCTTCTTTTTGTTTTCCCACCTTCTTCTACACTGACTCCATCATCACCTAACAAAAAGATCAATTTCATTTAATACACAGAAATAATTTACTTCTAACTTCAGTGTTTAATCTCAGTCACTGCAGCACCCTTCTAAACAATGTCAGATACACTATAACAATAGAATATCAAAATCAGACTTAAATTTCTTAATACAAAATGAGTTAAATGACTTAGGTCTTGTTTATGATAAAAATCAGTTGCAATATAAGTTAGCATGGTCACAATATTACACTTGGGAATCTCTTTTTATTAAAATTCATATTTCAAAATAATCCTGTAGTCATGTAACATCCTTAGACTTTTCCACCCTACAAGCAAGATAGCAGGGATGGCACTTTTTTCCTCTTTATGTCTCCCACCATCCAACAGTGTGGCTTTAAAATGTATGGTCAATAAAAGGAGCCTGAATAGTGTTGAGATGCATCTGATAAATGGATTTAGCCATTCATGCTGATGATACAGATAAAGGAAGTTGCCTGTAATCCAAAACAAAGAATAATGTGTCCTTTCCATTTGATAGTGAGCAAGCATGCTTACTCTCAGGATCTCATTAATACATTAAGAATAAAAATGAATAAATTAGAAGTCTGTGCAATTAATTTCCTCATGTGGAAAATATTCACGTTTACATTTCCTAATTTCATAAAAATAATTATAATACAACAGAACAGTATAAAATTCATGGGCAAAAAATACGAAAGAAAACTAACACATGAAAAGTTTGTTTGCTCTATATTTCCACTGTAATTCTCCAAGTCAAAAACAGAAATTAAGAACCTGAGTTTTAATGCAAAACATACTTACTGAATTGACTAAATGTCCCCAGTATAGGAAAATTTAGAAGTAGCATACAGAAGACCCTCCCTTCTATGAGCTACGGCTAACTGGTCACTAAATATGTCTGACATTATTAAGCATTCAGCTGTGAAACATCAATGTTAACAGACTGTCCTTACATTTTCAAAAAGGTGATGTGAAAAAAATTGGTTAAGTAAATGTTTTTATAGTTTTTTTCTCTAAATGAATAAAAAATAGTCCACGACATTCTTTCCATCCTATCACACTTTTACATTTTCACTCAAACAGCTGAAATTCATTTTTTTCCTGTTTGTGCTTTGTGCCACAATAATAATGTTGGATGGAATTCTGTCATGTATCCCGTAATTCAATGGATAAAACATCAGGAACACATTAACAAAATGGCAATGTATTTCTTTCTATTAAAAGCTTACTTCTGAAAATATAATTAGAAGCAAGCTCCTTCCAGGTTGAAATTTTAGTGGTAAGTCTCTGATGGCCTACTTTAAATTGATTTTTTTCCAGTACTAAAATTTTACTTTCTGAAACTCTAAAATGTGGGTTAACTCATGGAAGTCTGTTTTTTCCCAATTCAAGGACAAAGCTTTGTGAAAGCCTTAATAATATAAAAGGCGAAAAAAATTAACTGTAAATGTAAGAAACCCTGGTATAATCTCTTATAAACTACAACAGGAACATACAGTAACTCTAAGGCATTCAAATATACTAAATGTATCTATCAGAGGTACTAAACTATAGATTAAAGTGACTTTGCAATTAATTAAAATACTGAAGAAAAATTAAAATGCATGCTTTAAAAAAGTTAATTAGTATATTTCAAACAAAAAGCCATTAATCCTTAAAGTTTTAAAGGTAAAGACATATGACATGAGGTAGTATGCTAAGACTTTACATATATTATCTCAATTTTTCCAACCATGAGCAGGTACTATTATGATCCTCATTTCATACCTTTGGAAAGAAAAGGCTTGAGGGCTAAGAAAATCTAACCTAAGTAACTTCACTATGTGGTGAAGTCAGGATTTGAATCAGCAAAGCCCAAGACCTTAACAAGAATATATTGACAAATTAATGGTTATCTTCCCATAATATTTACTGCCCTAATGTATTCAATAATGTCATTTCAAAATCTAGTTAAGTTCTCCCAAAGCAAACAAAGAAAACCTATTTGAAAAACTTGTATTCAATCCTCTTAAGAATACACAGAATGATCTTTTTTCCTTTATCTTAGAGCTGCTACTAAAGAAAAACTATCCAGAATTTTCAGAAAAGTGTTAAATGACCATACAGGTATATAAATAAAAGAAAATGCAGATAAATTAGTGTATCTATGGGGGTAAAAAATGTAAAGGCTATTTGAGAAAGACTCAGCTGTTCTGTATACACTAAAAATAACATGGTCACTCAACTGTTTGGAATGCCAAAGAAATTAACAAGCAACAGCCATCAAGGCCTTAAATGTGAAGGCTTTTGTGTCCATATAACTACCACTGCAAATCATATACTTTTTCAAAGACTATTAGATACCTAAGAAATTATGTGGTTTTATTAATATGAGATTTCTGAACAAAGAAACTGGAATGATTAAACATGATTCTCCATTCCATGCGTAAACAGAGCTCAAGAGTAATACTTTATGAAAAACTTAGATCAGTGAAGCAGTATCTTCAATAGCCTAAAATCATAGGATCTTAAGAAAGTTAAGGTTTAATGGTCCTATGATAATACTAAGGAAGCATTTTAGGATTTATTTAATTTCACATTTATAAAATTGTAAATTATAAAAACAATATATATGCAAAAGAAAAACCAAAAGGACAGGTATGAAAAATGTCAGGCTATAAATAAAAGTAAGAATATTCACTCCTGCTAATTTAAAATACTTTATGTTTAACTTTTATGGTTCTTCATTTGCTGTCAGCACATAATTCTATCTTACTCATAATTGTGCATGGTTGAGAATTCATCTAATAAACAAAAATGAAAGTGTGAAGATATCTGGGAGAGAGTATCAACCAAAAACTAATAAGAAATTACAATCAAGCAACCAAATTTCCAAACAGAGCCAGATCCAATATAAGGGAAAAGGGGTTTTTTGGCCCTATTTTTAAAAAATGAGCTATTTTAAGCAAACAACATACATAATTTTAAAATACACCATCGATCATTTTAATCGTCAAAAAAATTTTTAGATAAAGATATAGACAATCTGAGAACTTCTGCTTCCATTAATGGGAAGCTAGGTACACTTCAGACCAACCATTTTACTGAGGACATCAAGCTGGATGAAGTGTTTAAAAAAATCTTTTTAAAAGATTCAGAGGGATTTAAAAAAGAAAAAAAGAAAACTTCAAAGAACTGACAAATTAGTGAAGAATTACCAAGTCAAAATCAAGGAGAAGATGGTGATCAGAGAGATGACCCCAGTGTTCAAGACCTATTTGCCCTGAGTGCATGTACTGATCTACCAAAGAAACAGCTGTGAGACTAACCTACAGTTCTGGCAGCCTGGCAGGCTAAGAAGACAAAAGTTGAAGAACCAGCTGGTACCCCCACATTTGGGTCCCACAGTAGGGACCCAAAAGGATATACTCGAGGGCAAGGGTCAACCAGAAGTAAACTAGCTCTCACACAGACTTGCATTGCCCACTAGGTCCAGGGAACCTCAAGTCTTAAAATTTGGAGTGATGTGGTTCCAGAATGACCAGAGTAAATGAAAGTCCTCTCTGATGAGACACACTCACCTCAAATATCAAACCGGCACAAAAAGTTAACCAGGCATACAAGTGAACAGGAGAAGTATCTTGTAAAGTAACAGAAATCAACTCCAAAAGATTTGAAATAAATACTGAAATTATCAGACATACACTACAAAAACATGTTTCCTCTGTTTACAGAAATAAAAGAAGGCACTGAAAATAACTGCAATGAGTAAAAAACATTAAAAAGTTGATACTGCTGACCTGAAAAATAGTCAAACTGGACTTTTACAAGTAAAAAAATATAATAATCAAAATTAACTCAATGAACAGTCCATCAGCAGATTCAACACTGCTGAAAAGAGAATTAGTGGACTGGAAGATAGGTAAGAAAAAATATTCAGAAAGCAACACAGAAATACAATAGATAAAAAATACAGGAGAGAAACAACACGGAAGTTACAGTGAAACAATCTAACATATATTTAATTGGAGTCCCAGAGGAGAGGGGAGAAGAAATACCTGAACAGATAATGGCTGAGAATATTCCAAAACTGATGAAAGATACCATGCCACAAATGCAAGAAACCCAACCAACCCCAAGCACAATAAATTAAAAAAATCTATTCTTAGTTCATATTAAAACTGCAGAAAAACAAAAAGGAAGAGAAAACTTTAAAAGCAGTCAACGAATAAAATCCAGGCAACCTTCAAAAGACTGAAAAAAGTAGACTGACGGCTGACTTCTCAAAAACAACAATGAAGCCAGAAGCCAGCAGGATATTATCCTCAATGTGGAGACAGGAGGACTGTCCACCTAGAATTTTTTTACCAGTGAAGATATCTTCACAAATAAGGCAAGAAGGAAATTTTTAGAGTAAACTAAAATTCAAGAACTTGACACCAGTAGATACTACTGGAAATTATCAAAGACATACTTAGGGCAGAAGGAAAATGATCCCAGACAGAAGTATGAGATTTAGGAAAGAACAAGGAGCAAAAGTAGTATGGAAAATGTGGGTAAATTTAAACAAAAGAGTAATATTAATGTCCTATGGGACTTAAGAATTACAATATACAGAATAGCATAAAAGTTGTTTTAAGATTCCTTATATTCTCTAGGAGGGTAAAAATATTAATTAGCATTAAACTTTAATAAGGACACAAGTCATGATTTCTAGGATAATCACTAAATGGACAGAAAGAGTCTACTTTGTAAACTAATTGAGCAGAAAAATGGAATGTAAAAAATAATCCAAAAGAAGTTCTTAGTTTAAAAAGGGGTGGGTAATAAAGCATTTTACTAGTTTAAGTGATTGCATTACTACAACAATCATGACTAGTCTAAAAGGCCAGACTTTTTTTGTGAGGTCAGGGTTTCAAAGAGTTTTTGGTTAAAGAAATTCAGGCTAAGAAAATACCTTTAAACAAAAAATTTCAATTACTATCTAAAGGTGTATATAATACTGTGTATGTGAGCTTGCTTCACAGACAGTTTGAAGATTAGTTTGATATTCCCTTTTAAGCTACTGTCAAACTTATTTCCATTAGTAAGTCTAGATTAGGTATCCAAATGCTTACAAATGTAGAACACCAAAAGATGAACAGTACCTTGTAGCTCCTCTTCTATCTCTTCTTCATCTTCACTAGAGGAAGCTAAGTAGGCTTGAAAATCCATGTCCAAAAGCTCTTCCTTTTTAAACTTCCTGTTGAGTGTTGTAATTCTTTCATGATCTGTCTCATCCCAAGTGATCTCCACCTTTCACCAATGAATAAGAAAAAAACAACAAATAAAATAAAAATGGAAATGTCAGCAACCCAAACTTGTTAAAGAATATTTATCGTTAATTTGTATGTTTAACAGTAAACTAAAAAAGTTAAGACGTGCTAAAACAAATAATAAATAACATGCTTAATGAAAAGTTTTCTACCTGTGGAAAGGGAACCATTTCAATTAACCTGTGCCTTCATCCTCCTAACTCTTTACTATATGCAAGGTACTCTATTATTTGGAGTAAAAATTCATCAGTGTATGGACTGATTGTGGTGAAAAGAAACAAGAAAATGCACTAGTGAAAAAGTAACATTATTATGAATGAGTCAAGACATGTTTTTCACCTGGAGTTCTAGGCATTTCAGGAGGTCTACAAACTGTCTGAAATTTGCTGATAAAGCTTTCAACACAACCTCAGTGTGGTCCATTTTCCAAAAGAGATTAAGAGCCACTGATGAAAAAGGCATCTATTTGTTGGAAGTACAGTAAACCCCCACAACACAGGAATTCATCTATAACATCATCGATCTTGTGATTGGCTCCTGTCTTCTATGTAGCCCCCATTCTCAGAGTCCAGTTAGAGGTTTAATCTTCATCATAGGGCAGGTCCCACATCCTTGCTGTTTTTCCCCCTCAGGCTAATCTTTCCAGTTCAGGACAACAAAATGGGCACCAAGAGATCCAATCCTTAAAACAGTTGCCATTGTCAGAGAAATTCCAGCTAGTCACCATTCAGAATTATTCTTATTCTGATAATTAAGACTGAGCTGATAACCACAAAACCACTGATGGAACTGGAACAGATGTGGATGATACAGCCAGACCATAGGAACTCCAGACTGGCTGGCTGGATAGGCTTGCCCATTTTTCAGTCTTGAAAATAACATGATCCTACATTTTATGTGACTGAATCTTTTAGACTTCACTTATTGCATACTGGTGGGGTTTCCCTGTACTCAGTAACTAATTAAGGCCACACAGTACCCACAGGCTGCAGGTGAGATACAGCAGCTCTCTTTCTGCCACCAGCCTATCCTCAGAAGAGCACAGTGGCTTGTCACAAAAAAGGCAATGAGAAGCCTGTATGGCTGCTGCAGAGTCCAGCTGTGGATAGAAGGTATATGGAGTAGAAGAGCAGAGAAACTATAGGCAGCTAAGTAACAAACTAATTCAATAAAAATCTTTTGGCTGTTCATTATTAAGCATTAATGTGACATCTAGTAGTCCTGAATTATTCTACTTCAATTGTTTTTAGAATTTTGGATCATATCTGCAGAAAAAATGTGTTTCTATTTTAAATTTCCACTGGTTTTAACTGTGATTTGAAGTAATCTGTTACCTCCTTACCCCTACTCCCTAGGATATTAATAACTAACATATTACTTATTAAAGAATCTAGTTAAGTAACACTCTATGGGAAAGACAGAAGAGAAAAAAGAAACATTTGCAGGTAATTGACTCAGGCTTAAAGGCATAACAAAAATTTGAAAATAGGTTCCAACACATGTGGGAGATAAAAATGCAAATACACCTGTGTTTGATTTCTATTTGTACTTATGCTTTAAAATTTTGAATCCTTTCCATTTCTAAAGATGCTGTAAGTAAATAACTCTTTTCTTAAAAAAATTGAGTCCAGCTATATATTTTCTAAAGTTGAGAAATACCGTTGATGTTCCCATTGCAGCAGATGTGAAATATCTTGGCTTATATGCTGTTAAATCCACTTCTGAGGCTACATCCTTGGGCTCATCATCAAAAGTAATATCATCTGGTATAAACCTAAGAAACAAAGAAACAAATAAATTTATTTAAACATATACTGCAGTGATAAACAACCAGAGTTTAGATTCTCTTCTAATTAGGTATAGTGTATACATACACACCATACAAGAGATTCTACAGAACACACATGTAGATGAAGCAAACAATGTTAGAAATAACCTTGGCACAAAATTTCTGAAATTCCTAAGCTATAAATCTGTAATTCCCCCAAATTTGAGTGAAGTCTGTGTAGGCAGAAACCCTGCATTAGGAGTCAGTTAATATGAGTCAGGTGTAAACACACATGGGTCCCTCATGTTTCAAAAAGACCTAGATTCCTGATAGCTCAGTCATTGGCTTCCTATATGATATTCTGAAGATCAAATAGAATTATTAATGGGTAAGTGCTCTGAATATAAAGTATCATACATATGAGGTGTCACTGAAAATAAGGAAAAGCTTAAGGTTGATTCTTGAAGACTAAAAAAATCTTAACAATTTTATAATTTTTTTCACAAATAAATAGCTGTTAAATGTAAATCAGTCACTGTAATTGTTTGACAATTCTTAGGCATCAGGCTAAGGAGTGGGAGGAAAAAAGCAAAGAGAAATGATTCATGGTTATTATATTTAGGTTTTGTCATTTATATAGGAGATTTTATTTCCACACATGAAAAAGCACCTGCTGTATGTTGCATCAAAAATGATTTTTGAGGGGAGGAATGAATAATTAAGGTTCATTAGGTCTACATCAGTGGTCCCCAACCTTTTTGGCACCAGGGACCGGTTTCGTGGAAGACAATTTTTCCACGGACGGGGGGTGAGGGTGGGGTGTTAGGCTTAGGGCAGTAACGCAAGCGATAGGGAGCAATGGGGAGCAGCAGATGAAGCTTTGCTTGCTCACCTGCCGCTCACCTCCTACTGTGCAGCCTGGCTCCTAACAGGCTGTGGACCAGTACCAGCCTGCGGCCCAGGGATTGGGAACCCCTGCCCTAGATAATAGGATGGCAGCAGAAAATTCAATTTTCTTTTATAAAATTATATATGACAAAATAAAACAGGGAATATAAGTTTCTCCATGGTCATTGATCTTATTTTCTAGGTACTGCCAGAGCTTATTCTAATACTGCATAAAAATGTCCCAAAAAGGAAACAGAAAGAATAAAATGATCCTGAAAAGAACATGAGAACATGAACTCATGATACGCAGAGTTTGACATTCTAACAAATGTTTGGTAACTACTATTTATATATCCAAAACAAGTACCTCCTTTTGAAACTGTTAACAGAAAAGAGAAGGAAATGTCTTGTTTGATGAGATATGCCCTTCATGCTATATACTTAAGCAGGCTAAACTCTTACCCTAAATTATCAATACAAAAAATTTTACTTGTGGGCTTCCCTGGTGGCGCAGTGGTTGAGAGTCCGCCTGCCGATGCAAGGGACACGGGTTTGTGCCCCGGTCCGGGAGGATCCCACATGCCGCAGAGCGGCTGGGCCCGTGAGCCACGGCCACTGAGCCTGCGCGTCCGGAGCCCGTGCTCCACAACGGGAGAGGCCACAACAGTGAGAGGCCCGCATACCGCAAAAAAAAAAAAAAAAAAAAAATTTTACTTGTATTCTTCTACAAGTTGGAATGCTTTTGAAGTGTGAAAGCCACAGTGATTATCAATTGATGCATTTTTTTTCCATAAAATATTTCATTTTGAGAACAAAGCCGCTAACAAACCTGGATACAAACAAGTGATTTCTATTGAAAATGTCACAGTAAAATGGTTCACTGGGTTCAAAGAACTAGGCTAATGATAAAATGGTACAGTAGTTCAGCTTCCCGGTTTCCTTAGAACAGACATTCCCAAACACCTAAGGTTTTTCAGCTTGGGTCAGTATAGCCTGAGTACGTGGTGGAAATAATGCCCAAGTCTGAAGATAAAGCCAGCAACACCATTCACTGAGCAGCATTGCCCAACAGAACTTTCTGTGATGATGGTAAAGTTCTGTATTTGTTCTGTCCAACATGTGGTCATTAAGTACTTGAAATGTGCCTAGTGTGACTAAGCAAATGAGTTTAAGCTTTTTAAAATTTTTAATTAAATAAATGTAAATAAGCCAGATATGACTACTGACTACTGTATTGGATGGCACAGATCAAGAGATACTAGTTTATTACAAGTAAATTCCTTTGCCTCCACCTCAATGCTTTTTAAAAAGTTACTTCACCCTGGTTCCTAGTTCTAAAAGAGAGCTGCAAAGAAATAGCTACAAAAAACCCATCATCCTAAAAACATATTTGACATATCTGAAAGGACATAAATGTGAGGTGACTCATACCTAATACTTTAGCATTTTCTCATTCCAGTTTTCTTTCTTAAGAGTGATGTTCTACAAGAGAGTTCACCAAAAGCAAAAAATCCACTTAGAATGTGAAAGGACAGAGAGCACTACCAGTTCTAATATTTCAATTCTTATAATCATGTTGTGCTACAAGATTAAATTGGTACAACACACACTAGATTACCTGAGATCTATGAACGAGCAACTACTTTCGAATTCCAGGCCATCACAATCCTCATAAATTTTAGCGGCTGTTTCAAGAGAATCACAGTCTACTACCGCATAATAGTACTTCAGTCGTTTGAATTGATAATCTCTCAGTTTTTCTCTACAGGTCCTAAAAGGGGAAAAACTCATTAGGCTTACTTAAACAGGAACACAAATACTCTCTCCCTTTAAAAAATAAATGTAATTGTTCCAAGAAAAAATATTACAAACTGGTTTTTATTCCAATCCAACCTTCCTTTATGATTTTGCCTTCATGAACATTAAATACTTAAGCCCAATTTATTATTTTGACAGGTACAGACCAGGGATATTGCATGGAATTTGCTATCTAGAAAAGGAAAGCAAGAACTACATGTGCTTACCTGTGATTGTAATTCTTAGAATAGCTATTTTTTTGTTTGTTTTGCTATCACATACAGCCTTCTCAAGTAATACCACTCGAGAGGATCACTGTATTATAAAATATTCTAGGAAAGCATTAGCTTTTATTATAAAGAAATTACTGATCTTGTAAAACTTTATTCAGGTGTTGTCAAGTCTATGTGGTGTAAATTCAACTTACTTAACTACAGCATATTCTTTGAGGGTCTTCATCTGCTCTCTTTTGCCACCAATTTTTATTAAGTGCACATATAGCTCCACCTAGTGGATTAAAAACTACCTTAAACTTTTTTCTATACTACATTACGATGATTAAGAACTTTTTCTACTATTCTTGTATTTTTCTATTTAATCCTTAAATAAGAGAAATTACATAATTTGAAGGCAAATAGTTTCAATGCCATTTACATAAAAAGCAACATCTCAGAAAAAAAGCAAAACTTACTGATTCAGGGCAATGAGGCTGAGACCTCTAAATCAGTTTAATCATGACATGTTTTTAAAACTGCAATAATAATTTTCATGAATACAGAAATACAAATACACACAAAAAAATGTTACTGGAATAGTGTGCCACTTCTGACAGACTTTAACCTGCTTTGAAACCTGTTTTAACCATGAATGGCACAAGTGTAAACTTTAGTCCCAACTATTAAAGTGACCAGAATTCTGAACTAGTGACACAAACTCATGAGGTTTAGTTTTATTTTCTAGAGTGTTTTAATACCAGTCCTTTTCAGGGGCATCTTCAGGAATGCTTAATAACTCTACTGGTCCTTGAACTTGCTCTTCCTTCATCCTCTCCTTTCCAAATTCTGAAGCATATATCTAAACACAAAAAAATAAGATTAATGTAATTTATATTTCCCTTTTCTTATAATATACAGACCTGTCAAGGTCAGGAACTCTAAACAACTGGACTCAATGAAAACAGCAAGAATGCTTCACTTCGAAACCCACTATAGGAAGCTAAAGCATCCTCAGGAATAATCTTAAAAATAGTCATTTTGGCTAAGGATTAACAGATGTGGGCTTGGGAACAAAAATAGAATATCTCCTCCATACATTCTGGGCTCTAAGGGAAAAATTAAGAAAAGTGAAACAAGATTCTAAGTTCAAGGAATGATACATAAACACACAGACACACAGACACACACACGTGTGAAAAATGATTGGATTAAATAATTTAAATGAGATATATTAAAATGATTAAAGAAATATATAAAACAATGAAGAAACATAATTTTGTAATACCTAACTTATCCCTAAAATCATATCGTTTATCCAATGCTTTCTTTTAAAGAAATTCTTTAAATAAAAAAGAACTGATGACAATCTTATCACACAGGTTATATATAGTCTTGGTATAAGAAGGAGTCACACTCGCCTAGATTTGGTATTTTTCTATCTTGGCCACTTTTGAGATTCAAGAAATATAATGGTATTAATCTGCATTGTTTTGATACAACTGGGCTTAATATTTATCTATTAACTAATGTACACTTTTTTGAGTTGTTTGAAATATCTAATTTATCCACTAGGGGATCCAAGTTTTTCTTACTAATCTAAGTTGCATAAAATAGGTTTCAATGCAGAAGTTTTTAGTATATATGCTTACATCTGTTGATTCTTTGTATTTTTTTTCCTCTTTGTAAGTCCAGAGATTCCTACTACCCATCTCCTAAAACACAAGATTTAACAAAAATACCATTCTATTTTATTCTGCCAGTAGTTTTAAAATTTTTTTCTTCATTTCATCTGGCTATCATTTGGGGCTATTACAAGGACCTGCACTAAGTTCTCCAACACAAGGACTTGTCTGTTTGTTCCAATACCATGTACTCAAGAAGTTTATTTTGTTCTAAATTATCATACAAACTCTTCTATCTACCTATTGCATCAAGTTGTCCCTGTACTTTTACCCAAAGCTATTAAATTCTGTAGCATTATAAAATGTTGAGATATTGTTAACTGGTAGGGTGAATCCTTTTATACTGGTATGATTTCTCAAAAACTTGTGAGTCATTCTCACTTGTTTATTCTCTTAGATGATTAATGGTAACCTTTTTCTTAACTTTCATTTGAACTGAGACTTTGATTGAAACTATACTAAAACTGCAGAACTGACATCTTAAATATTTAAACTGAACAGTAGTAATTTAGAGCTGTTTCAGGCACTGTACTAAATACTTAGCATGATCTTCTTTTCATTTAATCCTTACCACTACCTTAAGAAATACTACTGTTATATCTACTTAGAGGAGAAAAGACATTTGAGAAATTAATCAATAAAATGCACAAGATCATACAGCATGTATCAGAATCAAGATTTGAATATAGGTCTGTCATACTACAAAGCCTAGAGTCTTAATACCTACACGGGCTCTCTACAAATATGGTATCTCAAAATTTAAGTTTTTCAAGTATTATTTATCAAGTGTAACAGCTTACTTCATATAGGTCATATTGTTTAAGGTAATTTCTAAGGCTTTTATATGTTTCTGCTGCTAATTTTTCTTCTTGCTAATTCTAGTAATGAAGCATTTTTTAAAATATTTATCTTATACCTTGTCCCTTTACTGAGCTTTATTATAACAGCTTTTCAGTTGATTTCTTTGTTTTTTTTAATTAAACACAATCATATAACCGAGCAATAATTTCACCTCTTCCTTTCTTACTTTCATACCTATTACATCAGTTTTGTGCCTTAACTGTATTGGACAACTTCCAGATTATTTTCCTTAGAAGGAAAACTATGACTTTAAAAAACGAGATTTAACTTAGAATGCTTAGAAATATTTACTTCAAAATAAAATCAATTCTCACCTTTACAGAAAATATAACACCTCCTTTAGGTTTAAATGAATTGAACAAAGCCAGCAAATCTTTTGCCTTCAATCTATCCCAGTCCATGTTGCAAACTGCTAATCGATGCGTAATCTAAGAAATGAGAAAAATTAAATATGATATAATCTATATCATTCCCAATGCTTGCAAAATTAAGATAGTAAAAATATAATGCCTTCTTTTCCCCAAATCCTGAAATCATTAATACAGTATTTAAGTGGTTTCAATATGTAAAAGAAAACTTCAGATGAGTCACACAAAAGTAAAACTGTCAACAGAAAAGCACTTTCTCTTACTTGGTTCTTAGTTCTTGAATCAGAATATGATGACAAGCTGATTCTTTAACCACCAAGTTTGTTAAGCTATTCTGCCACCCATAAGTAGGAAAGTTGAGTATATTAATCTACAGCATTTCTAATAGGTGCAGTAGGAATTGAAATATAAACTCCTAGTTAAAACAAGAATTTTCTAAAAATTTCATTTGACTTTTAATTATTTATATAGAAGTTCATCCCTATCTGCTTGGACAGACATGTACTTTATATAGGTATATTCTGTATCAAGAAGTTTTAATCAGAATCATCATCAAAAGTATTATTTACCAATAAAGCTTTTCCTTGTTAATTTAATGACATCAATCCTACCATCTATAACAGCTACTTCTACTGTACTCTTGACAAATAATCTTATTTATTCAAAAGGTCACCTCATCAGCCCGAGGAGCATCTTTATCTAATTCTCTCCAAGCATGCTCAAAACCAGATTCCTCTGGAAGTAAATATGCCATATCTTCTTCATCTTCAGAACTACTTTCTATATTTCCTTTGCCCCTCGCAAGATCGGGGCCACTGTCACTTTCATCATCATCCTCACTATCCTCATCTTCATCTTCCTCCTCATCATTTTCATTCCCTCCATCATCATCATCATCATGAAGATCAGCAGCAACAGCTCTACAAATGCCTGTAAATTCATCTTCAGATTCTTCATCACCTCCTATTTCACTAGCACTTTCTGAATCTTCCTCCAGAGCTTCTTTGTCAAACATTTTACCACTTGCTGAGTTTTCATGACCATCACTGTCTCTTGCCATTATGAATGGAATCACTGCAAAAAGGTCAAAGGTGGGAGAAATTAAGAAAACATAAACACTGAATTAAATTAAATCCAAGTTATTTTGACCTCAAATCCAGTGAAAATATAATTTCTATGAAACAGACTAAAGGAAAATATAAATTTGGCAAAATTCATGCCTAACCAAGTTATTTAATAGAAATCTTAATATATACCCAGATCACACAAGTAGATTCATATACTCATTCAATATTTATGGAGTGTCTGCTCTGTGCTAGGTACTCAACATACTACCATTGGCAAAAGAGAAGCAATCAATGCCCTCAATAAGCTTCCAGTCAGGTGAAGAGGATAGATGGACAGTTATTGATCAAATAAAATCCATCAAATCAATGCACATAAAAAAATGAAATTACAACTAGGATAAGTGCCAAGAAGAAATGTTACAAGGTGCTATGAGAGCACAAAATAGGGGTCCCTAAGTAAGTGATAAACGAGTTGCTACTAGAAGGATGAAGAGGAATTAAGTAGTCAGGGTTAGACTAATAGATGAAGGAAATGTTCCAAATAGCAAGAAAAGCATATGTAAAGATCCACTAATAGAAAAAAGCTGGCAAGCATGTCTGGATTACAGATAGCCAGAAGTCTTCTTGTACAGAAGTCAAGTAGAAAATGAAACTGAAGAGTTAGGTAGGTGCCATGTAGCTTTGGACTTTATCGTAAAAACATATGAGAAGCCACTGCTATTTTCAGAAGGAGGGACATCATCAGATTTGCAAATTGAGATCACCTCAGCAACGATGTAGAAAACTTGAGGGAGTTAAGAGTAGATGTGAAAAAGAATTAAAAGGTTAGTACAGTATTCCTGGTGAGAAATGAAGGTAGCACTAAGTTGGTGGCAGTAGAGATGTAGAGTAGTGAGTCGCTCTTGACTTTCAGAGTCAGGAGGTAAGACCAACAGTAATCACTGACAGGGGCTTGATATGGGGAATCTGGGCAGTATCAAAGATGAGTCCTAGCTTCTTGACTTGCAGAAGGAGCTAGCTAGTTAGATGGACAGACAGAAAAAGAGGTAATGATAGAAGAGAACAAGTTTGTTTGGTGGAGGTATATCATGAATTTGGTTTTGGATATGTTGAACTGGAAGTGCCTCTGAGCCATCTAAGAGGAGATATAGAGAAGGCCATCGGCTGTATGAGTCTACAGCTCAGAGAAGTCTGAGCTGGAAATAAAGTTTTTGACTGATTCTTGTATATAATAACAAACGTTGTGATGTGGATAAGATCGCTTATGAAGAGAGCAAAATAGTAACTTTTCTGCTATATCTTAAAGTTTGCAACTGACTTATGGTTAGCAATATATGAGTGAAAGACTGGTTTCACCTTAAACTGGGTTTTTTTTGGCCCTCATTATACACAGAAAGGACTGATTTCCTATTTCTAAAACAATCATATGCTTCTATCTATTCTGTGCATATCTGTGTGAGTATATATATATCTTATATATCTTATTCATCTTTAAGTTGGAGTTTATGTTTCTGATTCACAGGTTCTAAGTGGATAGAGCCTGTAAGTGGTCCTATAATCTTATAATAGTCATTCACTGACCAAATATTGAGTACTATGTACAAAGAATTGAGCTGGGGGGACCAGAAAGGGAGATGATTTATAACATGATCCCATGCTCTTCATGAGCTCATAAACAAAAGAAATCATTTACTGATTTATGAAATTATGTTCTAAAGCACCACAGAGAGAAACACCTAAATTTGCCGGCAGAGAGGTATTTATAATAAGGAAGGCTTCAAAAAGATGCCCGACCTGAGACCAAATGAAAAGGAGTTTTGTTAGGAGGAAAATAGGAACTGAGCTTTATTTTAGTACCACAAGAGGGGGGAGTAATAAAAGATAACTAGTAGATGTGAAAAAGCCAAAAAAAGGCATTATCGTAAGTTCTATAAATGGGATCAGAAAAACACCACCATGATAGTGAAAGAAAGTTACTATTAGATAAGCATTAGAATTCACTTTTAAGCAAGCTGCTTAAAATAACACCTTGGGGACACAGCTCTATCTAGTATTGCAATATTTCTCAAACATCAGTTATTACTATACAATTTTCATGACTTTTGCCTGTCACTGATATTTTTCATGAAGCTGAATTGTTTTTAATTAAAAATATTAGCTTGTTCTAAACAATATCCCTGAAGCCACAAACGTGATATGGTGGTTACATTTTTTTACCTAAGATGTTGAACTACGTAACTATTAATATAAAAAATGTTTGAGTATCACCTGACATATGACATCTTCTCACATGACAATGGTACACATATCACATTTGGGGTTGTATAATAAATTGATACATGGGAGACTTAAAGAGATCTAGTATTTTAATATTTTTGACAATATCAATTACATTCAGAATATTTATTCATTCACTAAACATTTGCTCAGACCCTACCTTGTACGAAGCCTTATTCTAAATAATGAGGGAATAGAAAAATAAGTAACTGCCTCTATTCCTAGATGGTACTGCTCCAGGAGTGACTATAAACACTACTATTATTTAGCTACTTTAAAAAAATGCTTTATCATTTTCCCTCTGATTATAAAAGTAATGAATGCTCACTGTAAAAAATTAAGAAAATATGGTTTAGCAAAGAAAATAAAGATGACTAGTAATTTTTCATTCAGAGATAACTGAGTGGTTATTTTGGTACATAACTCCCTAAATTTGTTTTCTATGATATGCCCACTAATTTAAGTAGCTAGTCATACCATTTATTCTGTTTTGTAACCTATGTTTTTGGGTTTTTTTTGGTCACACCGCGTGGCTTTCAGGATCTTAGTTCCCTGACCAGGGATGGAACCCAGGCCCTCAGCAGTGAAAGTGTAAAGTCTTAACCATGGGACCACCAGGGAATTCCCATGTAACCTATTTTTAAAACTTCGTATGTCATGAACATATTTGTATATGCCATAACTTATTTAATCAATCCCCTAATGATTTATTTTACCATTTAAAAAATTTTAAAAACAATGCTATAATGCACAATTCTTTAAACACATGCCCAATTGTTTACTTAAAATAAATTCTAGGAGTGCAAGTGCTGGTCATCAACATTTTAAAATGATACATAATATTAAACTGCAACTCCCTACATCATCTTTACCTCATAGCACTTAAAAAGCCCCTTGTACACAGTACTTGCTGGAATGATAAGTCATGAATGAATAAAGAAAAAAAGATGGTGCTGGTGGAGTCACTTGATCTCTACTTACAGATAATGCTTTTTCTAGGCTGTGGAGCCAATGTAAATTACAGCAAACAACATGGTGGGGTAGAAAGAGTCAAAGACCTGAGTTACTGGCCCAGCTCTGTGTATCCTCACATAGATCACTTATTTCCTAAAGAATATATCCTAATTTCTCATGGTTACTGAGAAAATTAAATTTAAAAAGATATGCCAAAAGATTCTGTAAAATCAACCCCAAGGATTATATGGATATGTTATATTAATCTAATGCCCTAAATCTAGTGAAATTTGAAGGATACTAGACTAACTTCGCTCACAAACTCAGCATCAAGCCAACCTTGCTGCTGTTCCCAGCCTGATCTTATCCTCCACTTTCAGTAACCAGACTTGCATCCCTTGTCCCTATACCTCAGTTTGCTGTGTGGTTCCACTATAAATCTCATCCCTGACCCCTAGTCCCTGCTATTTAGAATTCTGTCCACTGCCTGATACTTCCTACCTTCCCAGTGTGATTATGGCCTGTCAAGACCTCTCTCTGCCTCTTCTTGATGCCTACCTTCCTTGGGTCCTGTAATCACAGCCAGCCTTTGTCTGGCTTATCTGAACATCACCAATTTTCAGTTACAACATCAACCATCAGCAATACCAATACTCAAAATTTCCTGCTGCCAGGGGTGATGCAACTTTTTAATAAGCTTAGAAAACTTGTAAACATGAACTAGAGTCAGATGTTTCTTACTTAGCTTCAAACAACCATTTCTAGCTTTATTATTCGCTCACCCCTTCAGACACCTTATTATCTAATCAAATGGGAATACTGATCTCTTCTGAGCAAGCTCAACTGTATCTCTGCTCAAAAAGTTCTTTCCGTGTAGAATACTCTGGATCCCAAATTTAATTCTTCCAAACCCCAACCAAAATAGCACTTCACCTATGAATTTTACTGATTACTGTATCTTGAGTGACCTCCTCCTCCAAATTCTCAGAGCCCTGCTCTTCTATGGCACTTTAAATTACTCTATTTTGTATTATGGTTCTGATTAATTTCTTCTGCTTTAGATCTGCACTGTCCAATATGGTAGCCAGCAGCCACATGCGGCAATTGAGCACCTGAAAGATGGCTCATCCAACTTGATATTAGTATGAAAATAGAATATAAAATATCCCATTACATTTTTAATGTTGATTATATATTGAAATAATTTTTGATATATTAGGTTAAATAAAATATATTAATAAAATTAATTTCACTTGTTTCTTCTTACTTTTTAAAGTGTCCACTAGAAAATTCAAAATTATATATTTCTATTGGACAGTACTGCTTTAGACCAGTGACACTGCACAGAGTTTAGCAGGTTGTTATTTGCAAAAGGTGATCTGCAAAGGGTCAAGAAGGGCTGAAATCAGGGCCAAACTCCAATCACCAATCCACACACCCTGCAGGAGTACTGTGTCTGTTCAGGGGAAAAGAACCTGTGCCTCCCTCAAAGGTGCTGTCCTCACCAAACTGTGAGTTCTGGAAGTGCTGTGTGTCCAGAAGGGCACATCTTTTTCTAATTTGCACAGGCGTCATATACACTAACAGTAGCCCTGAGATAGGGGAACCATGTCTTACTCAATGTTCTATCTGCCACATATTAGTTACTAAAAGTAGTTGAATGAATGAAGGAAGGAATGAGCACCCAACTCTACTTACCTTCTTCAGACACACCTCTTTTTATCCTGTGATGAGACCATATAACATTTTATCTGGTTGGAGAACCTAGCTGTCACTAGTGCCCACCACAAATCAAAATCACTGCTTAGCCTCAAGACCTAAATTTTTGTCTCTCTTCTAGCCATTATAGCATCAAATCAAAAATTCATTATCATATGGTATTTTTTCTTTCATAGCTTCATACTTCCAAATAAGCATTTGACCACTTTTATGATACTATGAAAATACTCATTAGATATATTTCCTTTTTTAAAAGACCAGTGTAAAAATAAGTAATGTAATACCAAAGAATCTTTAGTTCTTTCCAACCAACCTGATTGCATTTCTCTTCCTGTCTCAGAATACTTGACTTTGGGAGACTGTGCAATTTCAGAGGTGCCTGAGTCTACTGTTCTTAATTTTCCTTTGGGAAACAAGTCCGTATTATGTTGAACAATGGTTTTTTTCCCTTTTGTACTTTTTTGTATAAATTCTTTGCTATCGCTCTTGGGACTTGTTGACTCTATCTTCTTAGATTTGCACGAGGTTTTCATTTTCTGAATTCTCTCGGAGTTATCTAAATCATTCTTATTTCCAGAATCCTTTTGATTAATTTTCTTGGTTTCTTTCTTTTTCTCCTCAACAAGATTTTTTGATTCTTTTTCGTTTTTAGTCTGGGGTTTTTTCTTCTTCATTTTCTTTTGGTTCAAAGCTTTATTATCTTCATCAGAGAGATCCGAATCAGAATCTGAAAGGTCGTAAAAACGCTTCAAGTCCTCTGTAGTGCTATGGTTGATGGGGCGTCCTCTTTTATCCACAGCATAATTCAATTTGAACTTTTTGTCATGAAACATTGCTCGAAATCTCTTGTCAATTTTGATTTTTTGATCCTTTTCTGGCATTTCCCAAAATCTCGGGTCCTTTGCAACCCGCCTAAACCGCTGGTCACTCATTATTTCTTGTTTGGATGCCATTTTTAAATGTCTGACTGGGCAAATGCTTGAAGAAACCAAACACTAAAAAATAAAACAATAATGAAAGGTTACTAATATAATTAAATAAGATGCTTTGGGAATATTAATTCACAATACTGTATTCTAAGGTAAATGTAAGTAAAATAAAAGTAACATGTCTAATTTCCTTTCCCAAACTCATTTTGAGTCACATGCAGAAAATAAAAAACTATCAGAATACCTCCTTTTGAGTACAGATCATATGGAGAAATAAATTTAAGGCAAAACCAAGCAGAATTCCAGGTCTCTATGGAGGGGGGCAAATGATTACTAGCCAACTGCCCTCACTTAGATATCCTATATTTCTACTTGTATACTTGTGTTACAAGTAAAAAACTAATGTAATTTAAAAATTCCGAAGTCTCAGTTGGTCTTATTTGTTTCTTCACGTTCTGGTCCCATTCTCTCCGTTAATCCTTACTTCACTCTACCCGGAACAGTATTTACTTCTATGTGGCTAGTCTCCTAACTAAACAGACCAAAATCAATTCAGGTTTAGCTCAAAGTTCCCCCTTTATATACTTCCACCCTTCATGAATCTGGTGAAGTCTCACTCTAGTTAATAAATACATGGTAACAGTGCTTTGTTTCAAAAGCAAGGCTTGACTATGATGCACTTATACAATTAAACATTTAACGCTCTGAACAGCCTTATGAGGTAGGGTAGGTACCATTTCATTCAACTATTACAGCTAATGTATATAAGTGTTTAGAACGAAAGCACTTGATACACTCCTGATATTCGGAGAGGGGAGGGCGACCTAACCTCATCTCCGACGCCCGCCCTCATCTCTGTAGCCCACTCTTCCCTTCTACCCACCCTCTAACGCGGGGAACACCAGGGTGACCCCGGAACTAGGGTCTCCTTCCCAACTCCCAAACCTCAGAGAGCCGGAAGAGGGAAGAGGTCCCTCAACAGGACGGGGAGGAAGAGCAAGGAAGCCTGAAGAAAGAAGTCGGAAAGGCAAGGAGGAAGAGCGCGGCCCTCACGAATCCGATGGAGACCCTTTCAGAGACTGATTCTGCCTCCTCGAAAAGCCCTTTTTCTGGAACCTAACCCCACTCACCAATTCCGAGACTTCTCCGAGCCACACGTAGGCCCCCGACTCCCACAATCCTCAGCGTGACGCGCAGCCGTAATGGCACGCGAACTGGGCCAAACTTCTTCCGCTTTCCCTCGGCGAAGCTCTCCAGAGTCCTCGCTGAAGCTGCGGCGCATGCGCACGATAAATGCACCTGTAAACGGCGTCGCCGCTGGATATGCTGCGGTTGACCAAGTTCCCGCCCCGGTGGCGGCGACCTCCGGCGGCAGGGGTCCCCGCGAAGAACGTCGGCTTCAGGAAGGTGGCCTCCGGCGCCTCTTCCCTGGGCAGCGCCTCGCCCAGATCCCTAAACATATTCGATCGGGATTTGAAGAGGAAACAGAAGAACTGGGCGGCCCGGCAGCCTGAGCGGATAAAGTTTGACTACCTGAAGGAGGAGGTGAGTCAGCGGGACGGCGGGGAGGGCGGCGCCGAGCCTTGGCTTCGGGTCCGGGAGCTCCGACCAGGCCCCGGCCGCCGCCACCTCGCTGTGTGAGCTTGAGCAGCCGACCTGCCTGTCTGGGCCTCTACTGTAGTCTCCCAGCGGCCGGGCGCCGGTGTTTGTAAATTGCTCTTCATTCATTCATAACCTTGGCAGATGGTGCCTGTATTACAGGTGTGACCAGGGCAAAGTAAGACCGCTGCTCTCAGGAGATTTCATTCTTGTGGGAGGCGAGACAGTGAACAAAAACATGTAATTTCAGCTAAAGAAGTAAGGCCAGGTAACAAAGTGAAGTAGTAAGGTGACTGCGCTGGTCAGGGAAGGCCGCTCAGGCAGACGACGTGATGAGGAATTAGCCAGGCTGGGATCTGGGGGGAAAAGCCTTGTAGGCAAAGGGAAAGACAAACCCAGAGCCCCTGAGGCCGAAAGGACCTTGTTGAGGCTTCCAGGGACCTCCATTGGGAGGTCAGGGAGGGCCCAGCTTACGAGGGCCTTAATGGTTAAGGACTTGGGATTTTCTTCTCCATCTCGGCTGTCCATTTGATATGGTAATTTCTGGCCGCATGTAGCTATTGAGCACTTGAATGTCCCTTTGAGATGGGCAGTAAATGTAAAATACACGGGATTTCAGTGACAATGTGAACAAAGGATGTAAAATATTTTCTTAATATCTTTTTACATTGATTACATGTTGAAGTTTTATTTTTGATACATTGGGTTAAATAAAATGTTAAAATTAATTTCTTTACCCTTTTTAAAATGGCTACTAGAAAATTTTAAGTTGCTCATGTGGCTCTGATTGTTTTTCTATTGGCCAACATGGCTCTAGAGGAATGTGAGACTGTCGAATGCTTTTAAGCAATGGAGTGATGGGCTCTGGTTTGTGTTTTAGAAAGACTCATTAAGATAAATTAAGATCTCTGATTTGTCTGTGCTGGTTTGAGAGACCTCTTCCTCTCTGCCTAGGTGGACTAGGGACTTGAGCAGGTTTCTGCTTTCTGGACAGGCAGCACAGAGCTCAGGCCTCGTGTTTCTTCAGGGATGGACTAAAATTGAAATCAAGTGTAATGAGTTCTTTCAAGCCAATGCAGCCAACATTTACTGCCCCTACTTTGGGTAGAGCTCTGTGCAAGTCCTGGCCTGATCAGATGAGTGACTCTGTCCTCAGGGTTCATGGTGACATGTACTTAGAAGATGTGAGTTTCCAGCCACTCTTCTCCAAGAAAAGCACCTGGATTACAACTTGACTGAGGCCTCACCAGTGTTTAGGACTAGAATAAATGAGATAAAGTATATGAGAGTTTTTTTAAAAATAATAAACAAAAGGTATTCATATTAAGAATGATGTACAAAGTGGAGTCCTCTGGGAAATGACTTCTGCTCTCCCTCCTCCCTTACCCCTCCTTCCCCCCCAAAACAAATACACATATGTTCTGAGCTTTCAAGGCCTAATAGAAACTCTGGAATGTTTATGAGGGAATGAGTGGAATATTAGGCTCCACATCTTTATTCCTGCCAGACGAAGCTAGCCCAGCAAAAAGGAGGTGCCTACCTTATGACCTCTTTTAAATTAGGGTGGGATTGAAGAGGTTTCTTCAGATTTGGCTGACTTCTAATTTGCAGATGTTGCTCAGAAAAGTTGTTTACTCATTTAGGAGTTCCACAAAATTTGTTAGTATTTATCAAATAATAGAGTTTTTATTAAGTGATCACTTATACATTGATCTGTAATAATCCCCAGCTAACTAATTTTTCACTTTCACATACCTCATGCTAATATCTATAGACAATAATATGCTTGTTATGTTCCTGTTGATTTTTTCTTTTAATTGAGGTATCCTGTTGCTTTTTGGCCTTGCATTCTTGTATCATATGGAATATAAAGTCATATATATACATATATATATATATATATATATATATATATATAGTATTTAGTCTTCTTTCCTTAAATTGACTTCTGAAGTAATTAACTCAGTGTGTTTCCTTTAATTTATGATGTTCCTATTCAGAATTTGAAAAGAAAGTTGCTGAGGTCAAATTGAAAAAGGGATAAAGGGAATTTAACATGTTGAAACATAAGTAACCTATGGATTGTTGAATACTGGAGAGAGTGTCACTTCTCTGTTAAACCTACTCATCTTAACTTCATTGCCTCTTATAATCTGTCAGGTTGGAAGTCGGATTGCAGACCGTGTATATGACATAGCCAGGTAAGTGATGATTGTCGTAATAAAATACAATCAACTTTTCTTTTTAATTATTTTTTTAATATACTAATTAATTTATTTTTGGCTGTGTTGGGTCTTTGTTGCTGTGCGTGGTCTTTCTCTAGTTGCCGAGAGTGGGGGCTACTCTTTGTTGTGGTGCACGGGCTTCTCATTGCAGTGGCTTCTTTTGTGGTAGAGCACGGGCTCTAGGCGTGCAGGCTTCAGTAGTTGTGGCGCACGGGCTTAGTTGCTCCGTGACATGTGGGATCTTCCCGGACCAGGGCTCGAACCCATGTCCCCTGCATTGGCAGGCGGATTCTTAACCACTGCGCCACCAAGGAAGCCCCAATCAACTTTTGAATGAAGGCTTGAGAAATTAAATGCTGAGAACTTGATATCTGGAATGGCAGCATCTAGATGAATTTATTACCAGGATTAGTGGTTTTAATCACTCTTAGATCTCACCTTTTTTTATGTCTGAGAGAGCAAGTATTTTCTCATTGTTGTCTTAAAAAAGAATGAATGGGGGGCTTCCCTGGTGGCGCAGTGGTTGAGAGTCCGCCTGCCAATACAGGGGACATGGGTTTGTGCCCTGGTCCAGGAGGATCATGCATGCCGTGGAGCGGCTGGGCCCGTGAGCCATGGCCGCTGAGCCTGCGCGACCGGAGCCTGTGCTCTGCAACGGGAGAGGCCACAACAGTGAGATGCCCACGTACCACAAACAAACAAACAAACAAAATGAATGGAAGCACAGCTCAGCTTCTCTCCAAGACTAAATGGCTATTCCACTTGATTTGGTCAAAAGCGAGTAATGGAAAGATTGCTCCAAAAATGGATATAATTGACATGTGAATTTTAAAATTTACTAAACCTAACTTTAAAAGTTTAAAATTATAACAGAACCTTTTACCATCTAAGTGAAGGAGAGAGTCTACCTAGATTTGTTCCCCCATCAAGTTATATGAGACTTTGGCCATTATATCTTAGGTATTATTAATAGCAATAAGGGTTTTATGACAATTATATAGAGGCAGATTTGAGAAAAGAACACCTTCATCAAATATTATTAAAACCTTGATGGAGTCATTGCTCTATATTAGGCATAACAAAAGCTTTACAGGTTTGAACTTACAGCCAGGTAGCAGGAACCACAGTTAAATAATGGCTTTGCTATAGAATTGCTCTGTGATGTTAGCAAATCACTTTTTGTGCTCTTTTGTGTAAAAGACACACATTAAATTAGACCATATGGGATGAATTTATTACATTTTGTCTATTCAAGAAAGGGGAATTTTGTAAAATCACAAACTCTTGAAATCATATTTTGGATATATCCTGGCTACTTAAAATAGTCTTGGGGTGAATCAATTTCATAAAGTTTAAAAAAAAAATTCTTCATTGTTACAAAAATCACCCTCATTTCATCTGTTTCATTGGTTTCATTATTTTAAAAATCTGAAAAATAGCTAATTCTCTATACTGTAGTCATTCATTTGCCTGGCTTTTATTTAGGTCATTTGCAATTTAATAAATGAAACATTAAATTTTCCAAGTCAGATTGGATTTTACAATCTCTTTATGTCATAGTACTGAGCAAAACACAGGTCTGTGGAGAAAACTGATTTTGGCTAAAAGCATGTCTTAAAATAACAGTAACTCTTTGGAATTAAATCATTAAAAATAACAGTCTAAAATGTCTTACACTAATGTTCTATTATTAGAATAGCTTGTATTGTCAACACTGATCTTATGTTTATTATTTAAACTAACCCAACAGATTATTAAATGTCTTATTTGTGCTATCTGAAGCTTACTTAGTACTGTTAAAGTCGGTGATAATAATAAGTCCTAACTGTTGAACATTTGTACTGTGCTGAATACTTTACATGCACTGTTTCATAAAATTCCCATACCAACCCTAAGGAAGATAGTAACTTTTCCATTTTATAGATGGGGAAACTGAGATCCAGCAAGATTAAATCACTTGTCTGTGGTCACAGAGCCAGTAAATTGCAGGCCCAGAATTCTAACTCGTGTCTTTGTGATTGCAAAGGCTATATGCTTCCCCAGGCCACACTGCCTATGTTCACAATCAAGATAGAGGGCATTAGGTAAATAAATGGTTCTCTCACCAGTGGTTCTCCAGCTGTGTCCTGGTGTTCTATATTTTTGACATAGGTTTTTAACAGAAATTGAAAAGGAACTCTTGCTTCCAATAGGAAAAATGTTATTAGTGGATAAAATTTTAAAAAATTTTGTCACAAATTTTTCTTAAACCTATGACCCACAATTGGATGTGTAAACTGATTTAGTATGACATATATTTGGAGGAGACAGCATTGCATAGGGGATAATAGTTCTGGTTCAGGATTCAAACAGACTGAATTCAAGTTCTGACTGCTGCTTATTAGT